TCAACTACATCTTGAATATTTGAGAAATATTTTCAGAAACGGGCATTTCAGATCCAATAGCGGGTACAGTCATACAACCACTTAAATTTTCAATGATGGAAAAGGTTTTTTTTTTACCTACGTGTCACAATATACTAGTCTTAAAAAACTGTCATTTCTTTAAGAGAGCATAGGCAACCTCTGTGAGTTAGGGTTAAAATTTTGTGCATTCCACATGCTTAAACAGGGAAACTCGCATTTCCCAATTATAAGTGCCATCAACCACTGGCTGTGAAAAAATCAGGAATCAAAGTTCAGTCTGATGTCACTAATTTAGTTATTGACGTCTCTGCATCAGTTGTAAGTTCTTCTTTTGCAACGACGCCAGCAGGTGTTGTTAAATGCATTTATTGTGATAAATTAAATAAATAGGAAAAGAAATAGATCTGTTTCTTCCGTTGCTCATTCAATGTCTGTCTCCTGGAGGCTACAAAACTGAGAAAAAGAAAATGACTTCGGTCGTTGGTTGAGGTATGTTTTCTTTTAATTTTATGAAAATTATTCTATTTCTCCTCCGGTAAAATACATATTATTTACTGATCAAGTTTTTACTACGTAATCCATAGACATTCCCGGTCAAAAGCACGACTCCTATATTCTCTATTTCATAAACAATTAGAAGAAAGCAAATAGAAAATAAAGCCTCACTGACCGACTACATGATTAACTGATGCGCCATTTGCAACAACACTTCACTAGAAATCCCCTCGCTGTTCCTGATCGTCGACTCAATTTTGCTTTCTCATTTCTTAGTTTATAGATTCCATATTTGTTTCGTTTCATAATATTAAGAAAGCTAAACAAGGTATTTAGAAAAACAGGAAACTTTCGTTAAAAACAGGAAACTTTCGTTAAAAACAGGAAAGTTAGCTGAGCTGCTATGTAATATCAATGTAGTATCTGGTAGTGAATGCTGAACAATTTCCTCACTGATGAAACAGAGATTTGAGGCAACAGAAATGTGGTTCTACAGTAGAATGCAGAGAATATCATGTACGGAGCATGTGAGTAACGAGGAAGATTTAATGAATAACAAAAGTAGAACAATACTGTATTCCCAGTGAGGTGGAAAGAAAAAGCGACAAGATTTTTTTTTTATAGTAAGTTTCACCCTGTAGAAGGCCACTCGAGTTAGAGGTAGTAGTTTATATGGATTAGACGGGAAGGTAACGGTTACATCTGGACTTGAACAGGCTAAGATTGTAGTGATCGGGGAAACATCCCCTTGTAAGTCTGTTCCACGAGGCGGGTGTTCACAGACAGAAGCTCTTTGAGTGGACCCTCACGCTGATGGAATACGGATGGAATGTGGTTGGTTTACTACTATGTAAATGGCATGGCGTGTCCTAGCCGTGATGGTTAGAACTAGCGGAATCAAGGAATGTAGTTCGTCGGAGCAATTTTCCATGGAAATAGCTATAAAGCAGTTTACTGCTTTATCGCTATTTCCATGGAAAATTGCCACATCCCGCCTGTGAGAGAGAGGATGAAAAATAATTCTTCTCTGACAAGGACTCGGAGACGTTTTTGAACTCTATCATGACTGGAAAGTAAGGTCTGAGAAGCTACTACCCAAATATGGCAACAGTACTCCATTTTCGGCCTGTTCTGGCTCTTGTGAAAGTAGAGGTTAGTATGATGAGTCAGATAATTACTGGTGCAATACAGGGAGCCGATCATTTTACCTGTATCTTTAGCGGTGGGTCCTCTTGTGGTCGGGTGTGAGTATTCTCTCAATGTACGGTGCCTCCTCCATTCATTGTGACTGTCCGTAGCTTGCACCCAAGCAAGCTATACAAGTTAATGAGTGTGAAAGTATAAGAAAAAGAAAAACGTTATTAAAGCGTTAGAATAGTAAAAGAACAGGAATCAAGAAGACAGAAGATAACAATTGACATTGCATTTAAATTTTTGAATATGAAAGTGGACTGGGAAGGAAGGGACCGGAAGAGAGTGAAATGCAATAGAAAAAAACTGATGGCATCGAACTTAAGGATACGTCTAGCCAAATCACCTATAAATTGATGAAACCTTGTTGCCAATCTAGTACTGCGCTTAAATTCATGAAGTCTAGGTAGCATAAAAGAAAGAAATATTTATTTTGTATAATAATACAAAAATGTGGCACAAGGCCAAAATGATGGGATGGGGGAAGATTGGTCTTTAATCTGTCTTATCTGAAAAATAGCTAGCCACAAACAGTGACCCAAAGAAACTACAATATTCCTTGCACCAAAATAACACATTTTTACTTACTATTTTTGCTACAGCAACAGCAATACTTCAGAGTCTCTATAAGACTCTAAGTAGTCCCTATATGCACCACAAAGGAAAGTTCATCCAAACAATTACCATGAAACTATTTATAAAAAAAAAAGGCACAGAGAAGCTACATTACAGCGGCGGGAAAGTGACTGAAGCCGAGATGCGAGGTCAGGACCAATAACATTGCAGAATGTTTGTATTTTATCAAGAATTTGTAAATATATAGCAGGAACACCAGACCATATGTAGCAGCAATATTAAAATCATGGATGAATAATAAATAATATGTAAGATAGATTCTGGAGCAAAAAATTGTCTAGCATGACATAGTGAACTGACCTTCCTAGCAACAGATGCAGAAATTGATTCAGTATAATCTTTCTACTTCATGTCAGCAGAGACAGCCTCAAAGAGACAATCTCTTGGAGATTAGCATCTGCCATGCTGAGGAAAGGCCGAAATGGGTCTCTCAGATGATTAATGGAGAGTAGTTTCGTTTTGGATGCATTAATATTAACAACACTCTCGTTGCCTCAGTTACCAGAAGATTGTAGTTCATTTCGGAGATCATCTGCCAATTTGACCTTTCCGAACTTATTGTATTATACATTAGTATATTTTACATTGGATCAAGGTAGAATATTTCTTATAGTTGAGTGGGGCAACACTTCTGGACCAAGAAATCTGATCTCGAAGATGGGAGACTTTGTTGTGTATTGGCCTCGATCTGAAAATTGCATCAGATTGTTTAACCAAGATCCCGATGTGAACTGCCTGTGACTTGTCTTGATGGTCGGCTAGCGGAAACTTTATACAGTTTTGTTAGATAAGTGACTTTTTGTTATGTTTTTGTTTTAGCGGCAACGTCTGTGATTGGCACTAAAGTTTAAATATTATTTTGAGGATGGGAGTTTTGTTTTGTCATTACTTCGAGAGCAGCAGTTTTATTTTTAATTTTGCTCTTGTAGTGTTCTAATCCGTGTAATTTTTTTACAGGTATATATATATATATATATATATATATATATATATATATATATATATATATATATTTGCAAAAATGTGTTACTGGTAATGTATTTACCATGAAAATATATTGCTGGTATTTTTACTATAAAAATATTTTTTTATACTTTCCTAGTGTTTTCCCCCAGTTTCGGTGTTCCCTATTTGTCCACAACAGGGACCCTAACAGGCACTAACACCCTGGGTCAGGGTGGTTCTGTGAACAACAGCAATTAAGAGCTGTTACCATGCTCCTCAAAACTTGATCAGAGTCTTTACTGCCGGCTTTAGTTTATTGTTATACCTTGGACGTAGAAGAATTATTGAATGCAATATAAACTATATAAAGTATTTATTAGGAGTCTTTGTTTAATTTTACGCTTTAAATTATTTGACTTGGTAATTCTTTAAGTTTTTTATGTCGTACAGACATCAGTAGTTCACTTAAAATTGCATATGATTTTGTTAAATTGCTTAGAAAAACGTTGCTTATTTTAAAAAAAATCGTCTATGACATTGGCAAGGAATGAATCCATCTCATATCAGTAGCAGGGTAGCCTGAGTTCTCTAACCTTGTGTGATAGCTAGTCCAAGAGAAAGACTTCTTTGAATTCAAAGGGTGAATAAAGTAACAGGAAACTACACCACTATCTTTCTCAAAATTCATGGCATTTTTGCCGATAGTAAAGAAACGAAGAGAAAGAAAGAGCGGTGGATCTTCTACCTCCTAAAAAGTCATTGAGCGAAACTGTTATGGCTCTCATTGGAGAGCCATGACAGTCTACGTCCTGAAGCGATACACCATAAAAAATTAATATTACTTGACTCTGGAATAATCTGTTGAAGAAATCAACAGTACTGTTATGAACAGGGTCTGGATAGCTATAGTATTTATGGTAGAGTGGTTTTCACAACTATTCCTTTAACCACATCAACTATCGTATCATGCCTGTAATGTGTTATATTCTCAAATATCAAGGATAGTACAGAGTGAGGCAGAAATGCCTCTTCCTTTTTAAACTGTCATCTGTGTGGTACTAGTTAACTTGTGCAAGTGGTCATGGTGTTTTTTTTTTTGTTGTTGTTTTTTTTTTTGGCTAATATTTACGATTTGTTTTTCAAATGCCTTCAGTTACTATCATACCTTGAACCGGTTCACACAGTGCATTTATTATTGAAATGTTTTTTTTTTAAAGACTAGTGAATCTGTAATTGCAACGCAGAGAGCTGCTGTGTTCGAAAATATCAGGTTTACAGGTTCAGAGCTTAAAAGAAAGTCACCCGGAATAGCTTGAACTACCGGCTGATGGAAAACATTATAAATCGTCTACAGCAGTGTATGAGAAATAGAGGCCACCATTTGAGGGAGGTCATTAAATTAATAAAATCTATACCCCCCTTTTTAAACAACAGTGAAATAATTCGTTTAATAACAGTTACCTTGGTTTGTTGTCAAACTTTAAAATGTGGGAAGTGTTTCTGCTGTGCTCTGTATTCAAGCGTAGTGAATGGCGTTTTTGATCGATGTTCCAGCCCAGTAAAATGACAATACTTTGAATGTTAAATTTAAAAGGCGCTATGTAGGCAGTCACTGACGACGTTGAGATTCGTTGAAAGAATCATTCATCCCGATTTTTCCATTTTGGCCTTGTGTCATACTAAGCTTTCATAAAAGTCAAAGAAAAATTCCGATGCTCATGGGCCTTGCGAGATTTTGTTCATTTATGGTATCATTTTCTTTTTTTTTATGTCATCGAGTCAATACTATTTGCTCTGAACTGAAGGCGGGGGGGGGGAACCATTCGGGCGGGTCATCAGCAACAAAGACGAAAGACGAAAGGTGAAGTAGTCGCAGCAAGACTCGGCCTCGATTCGAGTAATAAACGTCAAGTAGGATCGGAAGGAAAACACAAAAATTGTTCTATCAAAGAATAGGCAATGATAAAAGCAAGAGATTCTGTTGTGTGCATTCAGTGAAGCAAGCAAAACAACATAATGTTTCATTCTTCTTTTCAATTTAGATCTTTTTTCACCCTTTTTCTCGTTCTTTTAGTTTTCTTCCCTTTCTTCACTACTGTCTAATATTGTGTCTCCACACATTTCTTTCTAATATTTTTTGTCTATTTAACTTCTCTTTCACATATATGTTGCTGGTGCTACTGTTTTTATATTTTTCTGTTTTTTATTTATCTGATTTCACAGTGTGAATTTATTGTATTTTCTTTCTTTCTTTTTTTTCTTTCTTTCTTTCTTGCATGCTTTCTTTCTTTCTTGCATGCTTTCTTTCTTTCTTGCATGCTTGCTTTCTTTCTTTTTGTGCATATATGATATCAATATGTCTAATTATTACTGGAGTTCATCTATCACCCTTTCATTTTTCTCACATGCTTTCTTTCTATCCTTCTTTTTCGCATTATTGGCGTTTCTTTCCCCTTTTTCGTCCTATAGGTTTTTCTTGCTTTTTATCTTTCTTCTTTTCTTTCATTCTCTTACATTGTTATTTCTATTAATCTGTTTTCCTTTGTCTTTTTTCCAGATTCCTTTGTCTGGTTTTATTTTTTTTTATCTTTTTTTTTTTTTTTTTTTTTTGTTTGTTTTTTTATTTATTACACACTTCTCCGTCATACTGGATTTTCTTTCTATTTTCCTTCTCACCATATTGTTATTCTTTTTCCCCGTTTCTCATCATATCGTTAAATAATTACTTGAGTCCCTCTGTCATCCTTTCTTTTTTTTTTCATTTTGGCTTTTTTCCACCGTTTTCGTGATTTTCAGTTCTCACAATCTTTCCCCTTCCCTTCTCTTTCTTTCATTCTTTTTTCTTTCTTTTTTATGCATACCTAATAACTGTATGTTCAATTATTACTTGAGTTTATCTATCACGTTTTCATTTTTTTTCCTTCCATTTTTTTCTTTCATTCTCTAATTTTTCGCCATCGTTATATTCGTTTTTCTTTCAGTTATCACTCTCTTTCCTCTGTCCTTTTCTTTCTTTCTTTCTTTCTTTATTTATTTATTTATTCTTATACATATCTATTATCTGTATTTTCCATTGTTAGTTATGTTCCTCTGTCTTCCTTTCCTTTTTTTCCACGTACTTTTTTTTCCCTCACTTATTCGGCATACTGGATTTTCTTGACATCTCTCTTTTTTCACTATATTGTTATTCTTTCTTCGCCTGTTTGTCGTGATATTGCTTTTTCTAATTATCCTCAATATTTCCTGTGCCCTTTACCTTTCTTTCTGTGATTTCAATCATCGCATTACGTTTTACCTGTATGGCGTTGTGTCAGGCTAAGTCAAGCTTAGTAAATAAGGATGCGCCTTCCATAGTCCCATAATAAACGATCTCATACATCTGTCCAATTTAATAGTTCAGTAAATTAGACCTTAATTGAAATAACGGATGATAAGACCTTGTCCTCCTTTTAACTGAGCTAAGTATGTAAGTGCTATCCAGTAACATGTTATCTTAATAAACATTTACGAAATAACTTCTGATTTAACGAACCGCAGACAATATGCGCCAGGTAGCTTAGAACAATTTAAAAAATAAAAATTATCTTCTTTCTTTTACAGTAGATTTCACCCAGTACAAGGCCCGGGAGCCACTCGAGAAAGAGTAAGAGGCACAGTTTATGTGGATATGTGGGAAAGATAACGGTTAACCATAGACATGAATAGGGCAGGGAAACATCCTCTGGGGATTTTTTTCCACATAGCAGCGGTTCGCGTGAAGAAGCTGCTCAAGTGAAACTTATTTTTCATCAATGGCGTACGGAGGAAATGAAAGTGGTTCGCTACGATATGCGTGGCATGGCGGTTTTTAACTGTGATGGTTAGAATTGGTGGAAGTAAGGAATGTAGTTCTTCTGAGCAGCTTCCATGCAAATAGCGATAGAGCAGTGAGCGGCCTGCGAACTTTCGTCTGTGAGAAAAGAAAATGTAGGCTAAAAAATTAGTTGTCACCCACAAAGTTGCGGATACGCTTTTGGATTATATCGAGACTGGAAAATGAGGATCGAGCAGCTCCTGCTCAAGTACAGCAGCAATGTTTCATTTACGATCTGATTTGGCTCTTGTAATGGTAAAAAATATCACGAGGAGTCAAGTGCTTACTTGAGGGGTACAAGAAACCAACTATGTTTCCTACATCTTTAGCTATGAATCGTATGTACGAGTTTCACTTGAGGTTTAGGTCGAGTTTAAAACGTAATTGTCTCTCAAGGCACGGGTCTCCCTGCGGTAACTTCCATTCATCGGGATTGGTGATGGGTCAGGATCCGATTGACAATGACGGAATGTAACTATTTTTGTTTTCGAGAATGTAACCAGTCAGTTTTTAGCCCACTAAGATTTAAGAGCTTGCTCACAGTAGAGATGAGATATTAATTTCTGGACATCTAGAATTTTGGAGTTTACTCTTAGGCAAACTATTTATGTAAAGTAAAAAGAGGATTGGTCTGAGAAGCAGCCCTGTTGGGCGCCTGTGTTGATTGCTAGAACACCAGAGGACTGGCCATTAACAATTACCTTCAGGGACCTACCCGTTAGGAATGACTTTATAACTGAAAAGAATCATCTAGTGATTCCATAGCTTTTGCACAATCCTTTATTCCACATCTTGTCAAAGGCTTTTGACATATGTAATGCTATAATCTTTAAGATATATTTCGCTTCATTGACGGCAAGATGGTCTAATTTGGTAGAGAAATTGGTTGTCCATTTTAAATGCTATATTTATTTGGAAATATATGCAGTTTAAATACAGAACAAATCATAAAACTGACTTCAAAGTGTTTGATGTCAGACACAAAAGAAAATTTAATTTAAATTGAATGTATGTACGTTTGCATAAACGAAGGTATATTTTAATTCAATGGCAAACCAAAAAAATATTTCTAGAATTTAAAAAAATTGAAATTTAATAATTTTCGAAAATCCTGTAATCTTTTCAGTTTTATTTTAAAAATACGTTCTTTTCACCCTAACCAAGGCAATAATGTCACTAAGATGCATTGGGTTACTGGAAGTGAAAGACAGAGAAGGAGTGTGAACCGGGCAATCTTGTCACCACCTTATTGCTCAATGTTATCACTGATTTATTGCTTAATATTTCCTATTTTAAGGATTTGCATTGAGTGAGAAGGGAATGTACTATTACAATATCTTATTTCAAACTCAGTCAAATCATGTACATATATGTGTATGTACGTGTACTTGCGTGTACATTAAATGAGAGAAGCAGCTGTAAGTCACCCAGTCAAAGAATTGATTTACACATACACTCTACATATGCGCTCTCAAAATCTAATGCAGCCAGTGTGTGACGACCAGAAAATCTTCGTTTGTAATATAGATTTCAAAGAAAAAATCAGTACATTTTCACGAATATTTGTCTATATGTTTAATTTAGAAAAACAAAGGTTATATAATATAACTACCCTCAGTGTAGAAGACGGCCTCGACAAGACTCCGAAAAAGACTATGTCCAGATCAGGAGGTCGTCTTTCCTATTGGTTATTATTTATACTATAGAAACCTTCAAAGAATCCCAGACGTAATAGCTCAGAATTTTAAATTCTGGAGAAGTATGTACTCACACGTCTGAGGGTGTGATATAACCACAAACGCGTTTCGTCAGAGGAAGCGATTACAAAACCCGAGAACATGCGGAATGATGTCGGACTGCATGTCTTGGATCACTTTACTCATAAACCCCAGGATGATCTCAAACTATGAGAACTTGATGTGCATTAAAGTGGATACCTTCTAGGTGTTTTGTAGTTGCAAATTCTGTTCCTCTTGTTCACTTTCAAAATGCTAGCCATGTCCAACTCGTTATGGATGGCGTTTAATGCCAAGAGCAGTGTGTGTCTATTCATTACCACAAGATGAAACCGAAATAAGTATGTTAAAATTTGGCGTATTCTGCGTAACATTACGTTAGTCCTGCTTCTTTTATGGCCGCAAACGATGTGTTCTCAAATGACTCTCACATTCTGTATTAAACTTTGAACAAGATTTATTTGCTTGAAAGGAAATGAATTTAATGTTCTGCATACGGCGGGAACTTCCCATTCCAAGTACATTTGCATATGTCAAACTGACATTTTTATTCTTCTAGCCAGATTAATTTTTAATCTAGAAACGAAGATAATTTGTTTAAAATGCTTATTTTATTTTTATTTTATTTATTATTAATATCTATTTCCAAGATTTTCACCGATAGTAAAATATTTTATTTTGTCGGAAAATATTTTTCCACTGAAATCTGTAAGACTAAAGCAGGAGACTTTCTTAAATTGAAAGATCCCCAAGGAAATATTAGAATATTGCTCTAATGATTTCTCAATACTTTTGGAAGGGTATATTTCGGTATCCCAATACTACTGGCTCGTTAATATCACTAACAATGGGCTGGAAAATGAATCCATGAATCATCGGCCGACGTACGTTTATGTAACGAAAGACATAAATGTGTCCATATAAGGCGTACAGGGTGCGATGGATGAATTGTCGTCTAAATTACGGAAAAATGAAAATGTCACTGAGATCTCATTTTAACGGATATATTTAAGAAAATTACACAAAAATCTCTTGAAATACTACCGATTAAATTTATTCAATAAAATCACCATTGGATTCAATCACATCCTCCAGACGATTTCGCAGTCTCCTGCAACTCTTCTGGACGGTCTCCTTGTTTAAGTTATTGAATGCTGCCAAAATCCTTGCCTTCAGTTCATCTTTGGTGTTTCAAGGAGTCTTTTGGTCTCTCGGTCAACTATGCCCCACACATAATAATCAAGGTGGTTGCAGCCTGGGGAGTTAGGTGATCAGATGTAATGGGTGATGTTACTGATAGATCTTGACTGGGTTCTCCAGCTTGTGTGGCATGATGTAGAGGCCTGTTGCCAGATATCTTGATCCACGGCAGCACTACCTCCGCAAGACATTTTATGTAGGGTTCCGTGTTGAGTCTGAGGCCCTGTATGAAGATGAATAGAGGCATAACGTCGCCATCACTAGTGATCACTCACAAACACCATTATGTTGACTGGATATATCATCCAAATCTTTCCGAATCCTCTGTACTGTCTTAAAATTGAAACCCAGACACGTATTGGAGCTTCCGGTGCGAATGACAAGCAGTACAGCATGCCGTTTCCAAATTTATGGTGCTCTTTTTCTCACACACGATGGCGTTCATTTGCATTATAATCCCCAAAAACCAATTATAATGAAAATTTTCCATTATGGTGTGAAATTTCCTGATTATTTCAGAAATAACAATAAAAGTTTGTGTAAGAATGCCGTTTAGGAGTTATCGACAATGTTATTTCGGCATTATTTGCGTCGCGTCTACAGCCCGGCCGCCATTACTGACATTGTTTACATACGTTTGCTTCGCGCAATAATACGCGGAAGCTTATTTAGTTAACGCGGTTTTTACTGATTTTCTCACTCGACTTGATTACTACGCAGTTTTCGCGAAATTTAATTTAAAATGCGCATGTTATGCTGAATGCGCGAATTTTTTTTTGTTAAAATGAAGTTTTAAATGAATTGTTCTTTTTGTTTTTTTTAATTTGTATAAATTTCTTTTCCAGTTAAATTTTGATTAAATTGGTACACAACAACAGTTTTGTTTTGTAAAAGTGAAGCTTTAATAAATAATGATTTTTTTTTCTTAAACTGATTAAAAATATTTAGAAAAAAACTTTTGGAAGCTTTTCTAAATAAATATAATATAACCCTTTTTCCAAAAAAAAAAAAAAAAAATAATGATAATGTCTTAAGAATAGGAAAACCTCATATGTTTTTTTTATCTTTTCAGGAACGTAATATTTATTTTATTTTTCGTTTTGTTTTGTTTATTTTTTTTGTTTTGTTTTTGTTAACTAATGTATTTGGAATAGTGAGGCTTTTTCTGTTGGGTGACTTAAAATTTAGCGCATTCATTTTAAAGTTCGCACAGTGCGCAGTAATAAAGACAAGTGAAGCTTCCGTGCATTTCTTCTCGAGGCAAATGTACTTAAAAAAAAAAGCAAGTAATGGCAGCCCGGCTGTAACCGCGACGCGAATGAGGTCGAAAATACATTTTCGATAACTCCTAAATGGCTTTCTTCAGCAAACCTTTATATTTATTTCCGAAATAATCAGGTAATTTCACACCAGAATTGAACATTTTCATTACAATTGGTTTTGGGGTATTATAATGCAAATTAACTGACTGTCCCTACATG